CCAACCACGTTTTCTAGCTATACTCCTCCTTCACATGAAGCCTGGCATCACATGCAACAATTTTTTAAGCCACACGCTCATAATACATGTAAAGAGCAAAATATGAGCTGCTCAAGCTGGGATTAATAAGGTGAACAATTTGCTTTTCATTTGAGATGAGGCTGACTTCCAGTGAAGTACCTGTATGTTCTTGCAACCAGAAAAGCTCTGTGGCTCCATGCTGTTTAAGAATTAACATATTAATTCTGCATCAGTTGTTTCATCAGCCTTTTCTTTTCAAGAAATAAGGTACAGTGCAAGAAAAGTGTGGTCCCATGTCTACTGCCTTGCCAAATGCTCCACAACTGTAGCCTTAGAGTTGTTCAACAGCAGTATTGCCTGAACACCTGGGGTAGAATGGTCATGCTTCTTCCCCAAATATGGTTAAGTAACTAGCTTAGTACTGATGACAATACATTATTTGACTTCAAGATTTTCTCCCAAATAACATACATCTCCAAAATGCAAGAACAGTAATCTGGTTTTTCAAAGCAAAATAAAGTACAAAAACCCTGAAGTGAGCCTGGCACACAAAGACTATTTTGTAGCTATGATTATGCACAGGAAAGGGTCAGCACGTATTTTCTACTTTTGATGAAACAATTTATCTGCCTTGGAGCTTCAAGGAAATGTTCTTGTATCTGATTTTTAAAAAATGAAAGAAAATCAGATTTTAGAACCCACAACTGAAAAGCACCAGGTATCTTGAGATTAGACAGAAAATCTCATTATATCCTCATAATCGTGACAAGGGAAAATATTCCTGGCCAATAACAGGAAGAAAAGATAATCACTGCAATTCTGTAAGGTATGCATTATGCTTCATACTTAACACATGCAGTTCAGGGTGGGTTTACAGAATTAACAATAACATTCTTTGGAAATATCATATAAATTATTAAATAATCAGGTAAGGAAGATACACTGCCCAGCAACAGAAAATCAAGATCACTCTTTTACTTTTGTTGTCCCAGAACACTAATTCTCAAGAAAACATTGTAAAATGGCTTTGGTGAGGAAGTTGACTTCTTTTTAGATTGTGTGGCCAGTAGTAAAATACATACTAAGAGTTTTAATTGAGATACCACAGATGCAGAAGTTTATTGCAAAAAAAAAAAAAAAAAAAAAATGGAGATTGTCATCATGAGTAGATATCTACTTATAGAGGCGTAATTCGGTAAACTGTGATTCTAAAATCCCTTGCACAACTGACATTCAAGACTATAGGTATATAAAATTCTGCAAGCTGTAACAATGCTGAATAGAAGTTATTCCTGCACATCCAAAAAAATGTATCACAAAAACTTAAAACAGATGAAACATATTGAACTCTCATTCACGCCTCACATTCACACAAATCAGAAATGACATGCTGTGATTTTACTTAAGTCCTTGACTGTTCAGTCTCAGCACAGCTCTCAGTTCGCTGGATATTCCTCAACAATGCTCATATCTCACCATATCACTCTTTTTCTGAGGGAGAGTTTACAGGATAAGTAAGGTGTGAAACATTGCCACCGAACCAGAGCATTAATGGTTAGGAAATAATCTGCCCAGGAAATGGGATTCAAGGGTTCAAATCCTTCCTCAAATTTTTTGTTCAAGATACTCCTCAGAATGTAGCTAATTATCATCCTTTTCATTGATGGGCTCAAAGGAAAAAAAAAGTACATTTTGCAGTATCCAAAAATACAACATTTTAAAATGGTACCTTGAGCTTGGTGAAATTCAAGTCTGGGAGGAATATTACTAGCAGTTTTAAGTGCAAGATGTTACAAATCAATACAATCCAACTCTATTATTTTTGAGATTGTGAAAGTAATCTTTGTTACAGTATTAATCTTAGTACAGCACCTATCAATATATCTGCTCTTCAAACTTTAAATGAAAACATGAAAACTGCTGTGCAACTCCAAATAATCAAGGAAAGAAACTACCTCTTTTCTTCACTAAAGCAGCAAACTGTTCCTTCTTATAAATAAAAAGTATAAAACAAATGCTATTCACAGAATCACAGAATTGTAGGGGTTGCAAGGGACCTCCAGAGATCATTGAGTCCAACCCCCCTGCCAAAGCAGGTTCCCTACACCAGGTAGCACAGGTAGGCATCCAGGCAGGTCTTGAACATCTGCAGAGAAGGAGACTCCACCACCTCCCTGGGCAGCCTGTTCCAGTGCTCCGTCACCTCACTGTAAAGAAGTTCTTGCGCACGTTTGTGCGGAACTTCCTATGCTGCAGTTTCCAGCCGTTTCCCCTTGTCCTGTCTCCACTCACCACTGAAAAGAGTCCAGCCTCGCCATTCTGCCCCCCACACCTTAGATATTTATAGACCTGGATCAGGTCCCCTCTCAGTCTTCTTTTCTCAAGGCTGAACAGACCCAGTTCACTCAGCCTTTCTTCATAGGAGAGATGCTCCAGGCCCTTCACCATCTTCGTGGCCCTCCGCTGGACTCTTTCCAAGAGATCCTTGTCTTTTTTGTATTCTCCATGGAGTGTTTATAATCCCTAGCCTCTAGACCACAGATGAACTTTGACCATAAAGCTCATTTAATTTATATTTATGCATTTATATAAGGATATTTCAGTCATTTCCAGCTGGCAGTTCTTAATCACTGGTACACTGACATTTCCACACTCCCTGTGGTATCTACTGCTGTACAAAAAGGAGTAAAAGCAATTTATTTTAATGCACTTTAGTTTCATTTTGAAGCACGAAAAAAGATATTTAGAAGATACAGTGAAGGAAAGGTGGCGATTTCTATTCCTAGGCTTTTACCTGTCACAAACTCACCCATATACATCTTTCCTTCCTGGGCCATTGGCCCAAAGTACGCACATCAGTTTATTTCTTACATTACTTAGTGTATTACATCTATAAACTTCTGTAGAAGATACAGCTAGCTACAGCTTCTGAAATGGTAAAACACTTTCCTTTCAGTCCCTCTTTAACTTGCAATCCCAAACTTTTGCAATACAGATACCTGTTTGGAAAGCCCACTAATACCGCATGAACAAGAGGGGATTAAATCAGCTTCCTTAAATTACAGACAACCTAGTGCCACATACAAATACTGAAATATCTGCCCAACTTCAACAAACAAAATAGTGCCTCCTCTTCTTAGACATGCTTTTTTTTTTTTTTTTTTGCAAGAATAAGATTGAAAGAACTAAGTACCAACTCTTTCTTCCTGGAAAGGAATTTAGATTTGACTTAAATTTCTGTACTGAACAGAATAGACTTTCAAACGTTTCACATAAATAACTTCATTCTGAAGGGTAGAAAATAAAAAGTAACAAATAAATCTACATATCAGAACTTCAGTCTCATCCCCAAAGAAGAGCCACATCTGAGTCACTATGTCTAGTTATCCCTTACCACCAGCATATACAAAAACTCTAAGCATTTAGAAATAATCCACTTTTAAAAGCCCCGCATAAACTTCTGTAGAATGCCTACTTCTTAAAGATTGCTCTTTTATTCCATCTGCTCCAGAGATACAGAGAGAATAACCCATCTTAAAACTTTCTCTAGCATATGCCAGTATAGGAGCAACAGAAATCATATTTATCTGTATGTTAACAGGCAATAAAGGGAGAAGATTTGAGTCCCCAAAAGTGTCTCCTCTCAGCAAAATTCTGCAGACCCTGTAGCACTGCATCACTTCACTGCATGTTATTTTTCAAGAGCATAAGCTAAGAATTCCTAATTGCATGCTACATTTCAGACTGAGCACTCATTGATTTCACCTCCTCCTTCTAACCTGCCAATGGGATGTGTGAGGTTTACGTGGCAAAGGTTCTGAAGCAACTCCCAAGACATGCAAACTAGCAATTATTTTATATTGTGTCAAACGGTATGATCAGGTGTTTGACTTTTGTCTCAGGACTTAAGAAATTTGATGGTTCCATGTCTCATCTTCTAGACAGGATCAGGTGCATTTATTCAAAAATAAAACAGACCTTTTCAGATCTTACACTTGGGCAGAATTTGCACTACAGCTGGAAGGAGAGAGGAAAATTCCAAGCTGTTTAGTATTTCATGACTGTCTACAACGTGGTTTTTGTGCAGGATAATTGTGACTGACAGTGTCCAACACTAAATACATTAATTTATTACTGATGAGCACCAACACAACCAGGCAAGCTTTTGATGAAGACCAAAAAAATAAAATTCAATTCAGTCATATTCTTCATTGTCTTGTGAAAATATTGTCTTGAAGATGTAGACTGGAATTAAGCCTTGCCTCCCTAGGAGTGTTAGCTCCATAACATACAAGCATCATGGCCATCAGTACAGCACTGACATTCTCACCTCCTCAACTATGCAATTCTCTGTTCCTGGACTATCAAGGTCCAGCCACAGCCATGACATTAACAACCTCTCAGGATATTAGCTGGAATGTTTAGCAGGAGGATTTTAGCAGGCTGAGATTCTTTAATATTGCCTGATCATGAGAAGTCTCACATAGAAGACAGCACGGATTCCAGTCTGAATTTTATCTTTGTTAGTAGAATGCATGATAGAGTTTCATGACAAGCAGGTTAACTGCTGGAGTACAGGTAAGCAAGCAGCCAATGATTAACATAATAAATATAGACTGATGTATAAGTACTTTTATATTTTTCCTGTACAAAATGAAAAACAATCCCAACTACAAATTTCACATTTGCAAGCAGTAGTCCATCCGTCCCACAGAGATGGAATAAGAAGCATGGCTGGGAAACACAGGCATGCACCAAATGCTTATCCTCAGAACACGAATAAACAACTCTGTATCTAGGCACTTAGTTTGTGCTTAATATTGCAATAATCATTTTTTGTTGCATTTCCACAGGACAGGTAGGAAATCCAAGACAAGAAATTAAGAAAAAGTTTCAATTTTTTATTCTTGCACCAAGTTTTGAAATCTCATCTTTAAATTAAAATCCTGCACTGGTAGCAAAGGCAGAGCCAACTGAAAACATATCCCATCCATCCTTTTCAGCTGCTCACTGACATCTACACCAGATTCCCACCATGACTGCTCAGTCAACAGAAAGAATCATGAGAGTTATTTGTTCTCTGCTATAAGTAAAAACTGCCAGCTTGATGCTGGCCAGGCTCAAAGACACAGTTGCACAACACACTACAACATCTGCAAACTCGGGTCCTGGGGTACTGTTCACCAACCACCCTATGTTCTTGTGAGACTGCTCCCTGTGAGCTTCTGCCACAGCCTCCTGCTTGAGTAACCTTTCCCAAATGCTAGGTCCTTGAAATTCTCCAAGAAACGTCTACATCCCTCAGCCAAGCCACCCTGAGGAATATTTGCCATCCGCAGTCCCCTGATGGCTGAATCTATCTCTGCTGTTTGTCAGGAGATGCAAGTAACAGGATAAATGTGTGCTGTCTTGAACTTATTTCCTGGCAAAAACATTAGCTAATTAATAACATGCGTAGAAAACAAGATCTTGTTCAGAATATGGTATTTATAAATTATTCTGTGCACACTAACAAATTAGTAAATTAAGTCATCTAGCGATCAGAGCCAGGAACAAAGATCAGAGACTGCCGAATACTGATCTAATCAGCAATTCAGCTGCTACACAGGAGTTTGAACTACACAGTTTATTGCACCTTGGCAGAATTCATCATATTCATCTGTGAAAAAGGATACATTGCCTTCTTCACAAACATCCTGCATGTTTAAGCAGGAAGATTAAGTCTTGAAAGCAAGAGCACCTAAGCACCAAGCATTGTTCCTATATCCAGTTCAGCACATTTTTAAACATAAGCAAGAGGTGTTCTGCAACAGTGAATTTAATTTTTCTTACACATTTCCATCCTAGTAGAATATTCAGTATTTTGCATATGCTATTCTTTAGTAAGGCCACTCAAATGAAACAGGTTTTCAGGTAAATGGATGCCAGTTCTACACATGACAGGCAATAGCATAAACTCCATATTATATCTACACTTTCAGTTCTCAACGAAAACAAGCAACAACAAAAAGTTTGGAAATATTTCCTCCTGACCACACAGTGAGGTGGTACCACTGCAGAAGCAAAGTTGTCTATCCACCAGAAACCATAAGCAGCCCCAAACGAGCATGTTGCAGCTGGCTGTCAGTGCCACGTCACGTACCTGAGAGCAAGAGAAATGGAAGTGATAGCAGAGCACTGCAGCTGAGAGGAGGTGGTGATAGAGCAGTGATGAATAATAATTAGCATGACAGCACAGATGTTGCAGGCGGCTTGTGGTTTCACTTGGATATCTACCATTTACATGGAAAATAATGACGCGTATGGAAAGGACAAAAATGTATAGGAAATTTGACCATTTTTCTTGTCCTTCCCCCACACCACCCATGCACATTGCTGCCTAGGTCATTCCAGATTTTCTTAAAGAAAACTGCATGCCATAAGGATGGCAGGGTCACACTGCTGCCTGCAAGCTTAGTAAGCCCCATGCATACTGGAGATACTACCTTTCCCACAGCTAACTGAGGAAGGCTGGATTTCACAGCTTGGATATGGCCCGAAGACAACATTTCTCTCTTACAAGGTCACAGGAACCAGCCCAGCTAGACTTCTGTAATATCCACTTCTCATATGGAAGCATTCAGCCAGAGCTGTCCAAGAGAAAAAAAAATGAAGGGGTATGGTGACAACGCAACTAATACAAGACCTTACAAGTGTTGCTATTTACACCTTTATCCAGTAACCAGTGTCTGCAGGGAAAATTCACACTGCTTATCTTCACACATTTAACTTACATGGCTGAGCAATAAATCTAGACTTTTTTTTTGTCTAAGAAATGGGATTCAGATCAGAATTGTTCATTTTTGCTTGCAATAACTACTGACAAATGTAATAAGAAAAAAAGGGGGAGTGTCTTAAGGAGGTAAATTTACTATTGTGAAACTTTAAATTCTCATTCCAGTACTCTTTTTTTCTACATCATCTCTGTCTCCCAGTCCCAAACTCACCACCTTCCCTCCTTAAGGCTCCCTGTTCCTCCTTTCTCTGCCTTTCACTTCCATCAGTTCCTTCATTTTTGGTTTCTTTTCAGTCTCCCCATGCTTCTTTAGCTTATCTTCTTATGTGCACAGGTGAGGTCTAGGACCTGAAAGAATCCTTGCGAGGGACAGAGAGGGACATCCTAAGGATGGGGAATGCCCCTTGTAAGAGGCAGTGCTGTCACTCATGATTCACTTTCAGGTTAATAGCACAAGTGGGTACTGAGGATCACACAGAATGCTACAGTTCCACTTTGAGCATCTAAGGAGAATGTCTCGAGACATACTGAAGCTCAGAGTTTTTTGTGCTTAATAGTCCTTTAAAGAAAGGAAGCACTGTTTGCTTTTGCTGAGGCACAAATAGCTACTGCAACCGTATCTATACAGCCAGGGCCTTGGAATGTATCCCATGATTTTGACTCTGTTGTTGTCTATATCAAAAGCCCACCAACAAAGACAGGCACATCAGAAAATGTTGGGTACATAGCTCGTCTTAAAAGCCGTGCATTTTCAAGGGGAGCAGCTGCTCTTGGGAAATGGTCCTGTTTCAAACATACCAAGTGTGATCAGCATCCTCTCTGAAACCGTCAGACTAATTTCTACTTATTGGGGTACCCGTAATGAATTCAAGATTGGGTCTTTACACTAAGTAGCAGGCACACATCACATGAAATAGTCTCCATCGCACATGGAGATTTCATGGTTCCTCTGAGGGATGGCATGTCCACTCCCAGGGAGCGGTCTCCCAGCTCACTGCTCAGGGAATTCCACCTCTATTTACCACTGTTTTTTCATCCCTAGGGAAAACTGCAGTGACTTCACTACTAGCTGGGACAGAAAGGCTGGTCAGCAGCCAGCACGACTAAGAGGAGTTGTGTTCCTGTTTTTCCAGTCCAGAACTCATGGAGTTGAAGAAACCTGGGATGCAGTTATACTGTTCTAATCCATCTAGTTCAGTTTTATAATGGAAATTTGACACAGAAAGAAAGATTTCCCTGAAGGAGACAACATATATAAAGCACTTCATCTTTTCTTTTTTATCATGCCTGGCACAGTTAAATGCTAACGTCGTCTAACAGCACAGCTTACTATTTATCTTGAGCACATCTCATTCTTCACAAATCATACTGCTGAGACTTAGGGAGTAAAAAGTATATTGAGACAGTTGTTGAGGAATGAAGGGACAATTACATCCTCAGGAAAAAAAAATAAAAACAACAAATAATCAGTGTTTTTCCTGCACTGCTTGTCGTTCAGGTCGCAACCTTTTGGTGTTCAGACACACTGAAGGCCTGACTGGCTGCAGCTGTAACTGAACAGGTACAAACAACACCTCTGCTAATTAAGGTAGCAATTCCAAACCATTTCATTTGTTCTTATTACTGTAATTGACTTGCCTTTGATAGAGAGAAACAGGAGGCAGAATAATCAATTAGTCAGATTCTTAACCTTCTCCCACAGCATGCAACAACGCTCAGTGGATGCACCCAGACTTCTTGGACTTGTGCACCTGACAATGCACCTGTGGAAATGTGGTGTACAACACCTCGCACTTCACAGAACCTGAAAGCACAGATTGCATGCAAGACAAGGACAAAGGCAGAATTAGAGGGGGAATTTTCCACAGATCACACAGGGTCTTCAGGCTGTCTAGGCCTATGCAAGGCACTTCTCAACACTTTCCAGCAATTCAGATCAGACCGCAGAACCCCTAATTCTGCTCCAAGGTGAATTGAAACACACCTGAAATCAACCCTTTCTTCCAGTTTTCTTGGAGTTACTGTGAATTCAAATGTAATCCAACAACGGATGTGTAAGCAAGCAGGAATTCACTACAATGACCCTGTACAAAATCTACCCTTACTATTTACCTCAGAAGTTGAATCTGTGGTTAAATCTTCAGTACCTATGAATATTTATAGCAGACTATCAGTATGTTTTCAACCATATCTCTTAAGCAGCTTTTAATGCCACTTGTATTTTTTCCAAGGTTCTCCACCTGCAGAACCAAGTCAGAAGTGTCCTTTGCATCTGGAGAATCACTCACCAGTTACAAAATCTTTCAGCAGCAACAGGATTCCTAAACTATTGGTACTTTCCAGGAAGAAGAAAAGGGGGTAATGAGCAGAGTTTTTTTTAATTATTCATATCAAACACGCACAGACTTTCACTTGATCAAATTAAACAACTGATTAAGAGTGCTAACATTGAAAAATGAATAAGCAGGGAAACCAAAGGAAAACACTCTCTTTAATCAGTTCTGAAAGACTCATTTCATCCCTCTTATTTTCTCCTCTAAGTTCTAAATGTTAATGATTCTCTCACAGGCATCCCTGTCACCATTAGATTCATTGCTGTTGGAGGGAGAATAGAAAGCAACACTGGATAAAAGTCAGTACTATTTCAATGGCATTGTCACACATTTTCACAATGCAACAAATTTCCCCAAGAACTTCCCGTTATGAGATAATAAATCCCGGTGTAATTCTAATTAAAAGCAAATAGGACTACAAAATGAGAGAGGACCTGACCTCAGCATTCAGCTTTGTCAATAGTCTCACTGGAATGAGAGAACAAGGTCGCAGATACAATGCTGTAAATAAACAGTGTTAGGAAGATGAACATGTATATTAGTAGGCCGTTAGCCTGCTTCAGGGGCAAGAGTGAGCACTTTGTGTGCAACCACCTTGGTGTGAAGGCTAAGCCTGTTTATCAGACTAAATGTGGACTCTTTCACAGCAACAACTGGAATTTCCATTCGGGTATTTTATTCACAGGCCTATCTGAAAGTTAGAATTATATATATAAAATACATCTCCCTCCCTAATCTCAAATTCACAAGCTACTATGAGCCCCCTGGTTTTAGTAGTGTCTATGCCCCTGGCATTGCAGTGCTTTAGCATGACAATTGACACTAATGCAAGTACCGGTATCCGTAGAAATATTTTGACAAACCCGAATTGATTTCAAAGTCAGAATCATAGGTTTGGCTCTTATTTATAGCCTGTCAGAGATGGGATGATCTTCTGCTGGGATTCTGCCATTCTTCCCCTGCGCTGAGTTTCCGTTTGCAGCAACCTTTGTTTGAAGGCAATCCCATGGTGATGGCTCCATTTGAAACAGAGGTATACTACAGACCTACAGAAAGTGGCAAGCTTCATAAAACATCCCAAAATACTCTAAACCATCAATATTTTTTATTTCTGCTTAAATAGATCTTCTTAAGTAACACAAGGTAGTAAGCGAGAATTGCATATATTTACCATTAGGACACATCCACATCCTTCTGAAAAGTTTTCCCATCTAAAAACATAATTCCAGTTACTATCACATTTTCATTTCATTGTTTGTTTTTCTTTAGTTTTTCTGCTCAGACTTTGGTTCATAATTTAAAGTGAGATTAACTGTATCTATGCTCAATCATGTCAATCCTTTCCTCGGGAAACAAAGAAAAGCGGATTTTCCATTCAAAAACCCTTGTAGGGAGAGCTTTTGGCTATCTAATCAGGGCTTTTGATTTAGAGAGTAAAAACTTGATTCAACTTCTTAACAAAGAACTCCATCTCATGCAGCTACCTTAGATCACTACGCACCATTCTGAAACACCGACACTGGTTTGATGCGTAGCTCTTTGAATTACCACAAAGTCCATCATTGCCTTCGGTGAGGAGGAGAACTTCAAATATGCAGAACTGTGGTACATATTCCTATTTTTCTCCCTGATAAGGGCAAGAACCCACTGATAAGAAACACTTAAGACTACACGCAATTGTGGATTATGCTATCATGTACCAGGATATTCTCATGTAGCCTGGAAGGGGATGTTTTGGTAACAGCTCTTTTTCCATGTTATGTTTCCAGGGATATAAATAGAAAACGGAATCTTTTAAATCCAACTCTGCTAACATCAAGAGAAAGTCAAGCCATTCTCAAGTAAATAGCCCAGAATACATTTGAAATGTAATGCTTGATAAAAGGATTAAAATGCAGCTCTAGCTATCCTGTGTTCTTCTGGGTTCCAATATCTTTTTTTCCACGTTCAATGCAAATAAATAAGTCTAATGACTCCGAAGTTACAGAAATGCATTTTAAACAGGAATTTCTCCAACGGCCGTATAACTTCTTCCTAAATAAGAGAGAATGTGCTGATGATACAACAAAAATGCAGCTAATGCTTTGAAAGTTACTTTCCCTGCCTGAAAACTGGTTAAATTAAGAATATTTCAACCATCATTTATATTTCCTTAAATTAAGATAATTTATGAAGATAAAAAAAAAAAAAGAAATACATCGAGCCAATTGTATAAGATGCTGCACCTTTCTTAGTGTTGCATATGCCTCCACTTACTTGCTGACCTTCTGAACTCCTCACAATTATTCTTAGGACCAAATTCAGACCCACAATCAAAAGATACAAATCGTGTTTCTCTCAGTACAGCTGTCTCTCCTCAAAGACCATCAGCTGTCTGATGCAGATCTTGGGAAAGTACTGTCCCCATAATGGAGAAAGTCTTCGCAAGTCATAGAATTTGAAGCTCATTTGGGTGGAATATGATCCTTATGATCCTTCCACTTACTTTCTTTTCCCTCCATCCAGATACAAGATTGTCATA